GAATTAATATCTCATCACTCGTTTGTTGCCAGAGCTCATATTGCAATTTTGTTGTTATTATTGTGAGCAATGAGTTCAATACCTGGCTACTGCAGTGAACAAAAAACTCAGGAAATAACTGAGACATCCGGAAGAGGCATGGCACGTGGAACTAGAATAATCTAACCCCCCCTCCCGGTGGACGAAAGGGTTCAATTCGAAATTCCAATCACCTACAGAAGGCCGGAGCGTACAACAGCCTAAACTTGGTGACTATAGCAATAAAGATGTGGTAATAATTACAATATCGCATCTCAGAAATATCGACAAAGAATAAACGTAATTCAGAAATATATGCTTGTAGGTAATAAATATTTGAATAACGCTTTGTTATTTCAAATCAATTTATCAATGTATTCGAAGCAACTTCAGAAGTTAAGTGATATTGCTTATAAATAGATAAACATAAATTACCATATAAACCTAATAGAATAATAACTACAAAGTGAAAATGAGCGGGAATATAGAATCAAAATAAAATTTACATAAACAAAGAAAGAATTGATAAAGAAATTTCTTTAAAATAATCAAATCCGAAATCTATCATCTTTTGTGGAGAATTGCTTCAAATATCGTCTAATTTTTTTTTTTTTTATCAACAATAATGCTTCTCGATGTTACTTATATCTTTTAGATAATCGCAAAAATATTATTACCATTGCTACCATTTCCGATAAAGAGTGTTGGATATTTTCTGTCAATTTCAAATACGATCCTATTTCTACTTTTATTCTTTTCAATGTTTTCTTCTAGTGAATTCTGTGAATATTTAAAAAATATGAGGAAATTCATTCAAGTGCTTAGAATTTCGCTATTATTATTAACTTTCTGTGACAGTGATACCCATCCACAGAGCAGTATTATATTTTACACTATATAACGCGCATTACTGTTTAAGTAATGAATAAGATTAACTTAGTCTGATATAAGACCACAACAGTGAAGCACTCAGTGAAAAATTAAACTTACCACACTGCAAACTCGTTCAGAAAGTGAAGGAGAGGGTGAAGTGCATCCAACCCCCGGCAAACGTATATTAAATTAGTCAAACAAGAAAATCTCTTCTCATAGAATTTACATGACGGAATACCTATACGACTCCAGCGTTCGACTACGATAGTCGGTGCATTCCAACTGCAAATGTTTGCTGATTTGAAAAATGGTAATGGAATTTTGTGACTCATTAGGCTGATTGTCCGATGAAGTTCGCATTTCTTTGCACCTGGTTTCTTAAGTATAACATCTACTGGAAGGAGACATTTCTATAGAAACAAAATCTGATAAAGAATCGCTTCTGAACCCTATTCAACAATTCCCGTTTAGGTCTTTATTAAATTTTTAGTAGTCAGTTTTATCATCAATGGAAAAAGTGTCAAAATGTTTGCAGGATCCGAAAATTGGGTTCTGTGAAGTTTCTTCTGATCTAAAAAGTCAATATTCAAATCTTGAATTTGAAGATTGACGAAATTATCAACGCTTTCAGGTAATGTCAAATGGAGAATGCCAATTGCTTTAAACAAGGAGAAGAATGATGCTTAGAGAATAAGCTCGTGGATATCATGCAACGGTTAAAAACAAACTGTAAGAACTGTCGTATTTGCCTTCAAAGCTTCTGAAAACGATTTTTATTTGATGAACAAGAAAGAGAGAGATTTCAGAAAAAGAATGTTCGGTCTTTGCAAAATATCATGATGATAATGCATTGTTGTAATGATCGGCTAGAGAAGTTTGGCAAGAATTTAACCTTCGGAGAGGAGTCCATGTAGAAATATAATACACGTCCATGATTTGGCAAGAAATATTCAAGAAAAATGAATTTTCTCAGAATTTGTATCTTGCCTCTGTTGATAAACAAGTTTTTCATAACAGGTATAGGTTACTGAGTGCTTATTTTCTTGTTGGTTTGAATAAAACTTAGAAGGAATTAAGAAATATATATTGAGAAGTAAATTTCTATGCTTATTAATTTAATTATAATACCAATGACTTTCAAGGTATCTTAACTACAATTTATAGATTTATACAAAAGATACGTGTTATATATGAATAAAAACAAAACAAAAAAGCAGCCATTTGATGGACTGCAGCAAAATACAAGAAAGGTAAGAACAATTATAATATATATATATATATATATATATATATATATATATATATATATAATCTTCTTGTTGCCTATGTTCAATCCCAATTATCTACTCTGTTTTTTGTTCATTCCCCGCTCTCTTCACTTCCCCCTATCACTGCTTTTGTTAAACCCTTTCTTGTTTCTCTACTCTCATTCCACTGCGTCTTTGACTTTCTTTCAGTCTGACCCCACCACGCCGCTTCGTCGATTGCGACATTGTAATCATCTTTTCTTTTAAATATCTACTTTTTCGAATTCCACAATAACTTTTCTAATTTTGATTCTTGTAAATTCAATGCCAAATTTATTGTCTATATTCATTGCCAACTGAAATAATTTAAAATGAATAAAATAGAAGATGATATAACTTTTGTGTGACATACTTTGCCTTCTACAGAAAAAAGCAATAATAAGAAAAACGCAAAGTAAATGAAGAAAAAATGAAGAAAAAATAATGAATAAATTGAAAGAAAGAAAGAAAGAAAGAAAGAAAGAAAGAAAGAAAGAAAGAAAGAGAGCATAATAAAGGAAAGAAAGGAAAACAGCTGGAGAGAAAGCCCAACGAGAAGGTAGTAAACATCCAAACAATGCAAATAACAAAAATGAATAAAGAATGAAAGGCCGAAAATGAAGGAAAAAACAAGGAAGGAAAGAGAGAAAAAATATGAAAAATTAATCTGTTTAATCCTTTTATCCGTTGGACAATTGACAGAATGCCAAAAATTGGACCGAATGAATGCCCAGCCGTGCCATTAATATTAAGCACAGGTGAACATCCGGGTATTTTTTTCTGCAGTATAGCAGTCAAAAGAGTCAAGTGATAGCTAAGTGACAGCTGCATTGGGCTGAAGACTATGAGGTCTGTAGATGAATTTTCAAAAGGATTTAATTTTGAAATACCAAATGAAGTAAATTAAATGCAGACTGATTAAAGTATTACACTAAATGCTAGAATGTTTGAAATTCAATATTCAATGGTTTAAATATAAATTAACATTAAATAAGAAGCTCGAAAATGTTACGTTCTTCAGTTCTGATAAATCTGAGTAAAATTACAGAACATAAATTTTCTCTTAAATCGGTTATCATTTTCAGTTGCTATTATTGATTAATTAAATATAAAACAAGACATTTTCATTAATAGATTCCTACGTACGTACAAAAAATAGGTTTATTCAGAATCTGCATGAAAACTCTACTAAAGTTTTGGCCTACTGTTCAGAATATCTGAAAAGGAAATTATTAACAAAACTAAAATAAAACATCCTTGATCTGTTTGACAGTAACATTTTTCTTAACTACATGGAATCGGCTGAGGAGATAACTTACAATAAATTTCGTTTGTTCCCTCTGAAATAACTGATAAATGTATATGTGCAAAGCATTTATGTGTCTTGAGACCTCTGAAACTCTTAGTGAATTGCTTCCAGGACAATTCGTATGAAGACAGCAAAAGTTTTGCAGCTTCTGACGATATATTTCGTGATAGAAAAAAATCCCGTTCTTAAATTAACTTTTTCTAGATGAAGCTAGTATGTCACAAGGTCAAATTTATAGAGCACTCAAAGGGAAAAATAGCTTATGCCAGCATTCAGCTTGATTTGTTTTTAGTAATCAGTATCGGTAAAAAAATCAAAAAGTTGGACGTGTGTATAACTTAACTGTTATCAGCGGGAAAAAGATGAACCAGCGAGGCACGTTCAAATTCTGATCTAATCTGTTGCGTTGGCCTTAATGATCTTGAGAAAAGCTTGAATCCTTTTCTTCTCTCCACCCATATGTATGAGTTAAATAGTAGGACAAGTATGGCTCTCTAGCCTTGGGTGGTAAAAAAAGGATCCTTATAAAAACATAATAATCAAAGAGCTTCAAGGAGAAGAGTAACTCGGAAATAAAGAAGGAAAACAAGGAAATCGATGATAGTGTTTAAAATTATTATGTTAAATTGACTTTTCGAAGGGTTGTCAACTTAATCTTCAACTGCAGATATTCTAATCAAAAGCGCATCTACCTCGGCCACCAGACGGTTCAACCACTAGATGCGTAAGCAAAACGCGGTCCCTCAGACATACATATAAAAGTGTAGACAGAAAATATAACGCAAAGAAAAAAAAGACACAAAGCTACAACAAATAGATCGATCACTTGATATACACATGCGTAAAACATATTTAAATGAAAGAAACATCCGGCTACATTCACAGAAAAATATAGGCTGGTGTTCAACTATAGAGATAGAGTCAGATAAAAAACACAAATAACGAAAGTCAGCATTAATTTAAATATTCCATCTATCAGTGAAAAAACGTTGGTGATAACAGACCTGACAAGCGAAGGAAATAAAAGTATAGGAATCAATTGAATGCTTAATAATTCCTACCCAAACCGTGATTGTCGTTGATTTTTGTTGGTCGACGAATAAAATGGGAAATTTCGATTTTTTCTCGTTTTCACTGTCAATTGTTGCTGTGTATTAGGGAGCCTAAATAGGTTCATCGTAGCCACACATTATTTTCCAGTATTGACAGACGGCTCTTTTTCTAGGAGAAAAAACTGTCGATGAGATTTGACAAGACTGTGTTTTAATGAAAGGCAAGCGAAGTTTACTGCATTGTATAGGCTGTATGTCCTGAATCAATCGGAACAAACATGGCGCACGACCGGCCATGCGAAGGCAAATGGAAGCAAACAAAAATATGAGAGAAGGAAATGAAAAAGAACTGAAAGGAAAAAGAAAATAAAAATTTCGAGTAAATAAAGTTCTGTTTCGTCATATGGAATTAAAAACAAAAATTTTGAACTAAAAAAAATCCTTTCTAATCTTCCATTTTGAATGCGTATCAGAAACGGAAGTGACTTCATCGGATCGACTTTTTCCCAGAAAATATTTTTGGACTATTTCTTTGCATTTTATTTTTTAGCAATTTTCGTTTTATCAATCTCGATTTTCTATCGCTTATTTTCTTCTGTGTCGTTCTATTTTTCATTGTTTGTTTTTCCCTTTCTCCTTTGCTCTCCCTTTTCCGTTTGTCACTTGCTTTTATTCAATGTTTTGTTCACTTCTTTATTCATTCATCATCATCAACTCTCTCTCTCTCTCTCTCTCTCTCTCTCTCTCTCTCTCTCTCTCCTGTATGTATATATATATATATATATATATATATATATATATATATATATATATATATATTTCCTTCAACGGTATAATTCTTATTCAGCTACCCCAGGTTAAGGCTTAGCAGCAACAAAGCTGTAGCTCGTGTCTCTGACTGAAGGTATGTCAAATCTAAATCATTTTAAGCCTACAATTATTGAGACTTGCTAGTGATATCCAAAAATGAATAATTAATACATAATTACCTAATTAATACATAATAATAGAAATTAATTATTTTCTATTGATGAGAAATCAAAATGTACCTGTATGAATCAATCAGAAAGTGATTTCAACTTTTAAAAATACTCAAGAAAGCGTACAAATAATTTAGGAAAAAAGAATGAATAATGAGATTGTGATAAACAATAATTTTGATATTTTGAAAATTGTATTCCACGAGTTTTTATCATATTTATCATCGTAACTTTCACACACGTTATATATACATGCTAAAATTTGAAAATAACTCTAAAATATTGTTTAATTGGTTGTTTTAGGGAACAAAAACAAACAATAATTCTTGGAAAATATATGTTCTCTTTTCATATTGAAATGAAACAAACAAATATATTTCCTCAACAAAATTCTGCAAGTTTTAATTTGACGATATTAAGCATCCTAAAACAGCCCTTCTGATTTGTATAATTTATAAATCGTCAAAATTTATTCCTTTCAAAAATATTTTCATATTCTTGACGACAATCAAATGCTGTATTATTAAATATTTCCTGGTCTCTGTTTTTCTAGTGTAATCAAGAAAAAAGTTACATTTTACTATATTTGAGGATAGGAGTGTGTAAATCTGCTAAAGTTGGCATGGCACCCCATCCAAAATGTTGAATCCAATATTTTTCGATTCAACATTTTGAGCAAGGTTAAATAATTTTTCAATTGTTTAACACTCCTTTAGTACTGCATTATCACCGTATAAGATATCGTGGGTTTTTCAAAGAACCTCATTTAAGATATTATAGTTATATATATTTAGTTCTTATTTTTCTTCTTATGTACTGTCTTATCTGTTCTTTATCATTTTTCTAGAATAAATAAAAATGAAAAAAGTTTTATTTTGAAAAATCGAAATAAAAGCACTATTAAAATGATTTTGTAAATTTCGAAAATAGGTTTCATTTTATTTCCAGTAAGCAATTGCTTTAAGATCATTCGCGTGTTGTCAGTAATTGATTTTGTTATACTAACTAGCTCATCTCTATCTATCTATCTATCTATCTATCTATCTATCTATCTATCTATCTATACACGCGAGGATCTATGCTTGTGTATTTCAAGAAGGGTAACTTTTATTGGCACGGAAAGTGAAATCGTCGAATCGAATTCAAATTGTTTTGTTCCCATGAATCAATCTTCCTCCAGCTATGGGTTAAATAGCAGAACTGACAGATTTCTTTTTGTCTCGCTTGGGTGTCATTTTAGTAAACGTAAAGGAAATCTCTGAATTCAGACCAGGGGACGGCTATTTGGAGGCTTCATGGCACACTATTCACCATTACCATTCTGTTATCAGTTCTTCCGACAAGTGGCCTGTTCTACACAAGCCATCACCAATTTGATTAAATCATTTGTGTGGGTAGTCTAGCATTTCTGTTCGAAACAGAACTGTTAAGCTCTCAGACGTCAAAATCGACAACAGAGGCCAATTGTTGCGAAATCAACAGGCGTTCTTCTATTTTCTACTTCTGCATATCATTTCCGGTTGCTATTTACTGAATTGGAATTCTTGATTTCGGTTCACACAGTTTTTAAATTATTTACTGCTTCAGAAATTGAACCGATTTAAATTTTCTCCTCCTTCGATCCCTTTCTTTAATTTCTTCTTCACATTCTTTTGTGCACACACGCTTGTCTCTTATTAAAAGAAATCATTAAAGTTCGCTCTCTTTCTTTCTCAGATACACACATTCTCTCTATTTCTCGCTTTCTCAAATATACAGGCGTATACATATCTAGGAGACATTTGTGCACGTGGGTGGATCAATAAGTAAATATCTTAACAGTTATTAACTGAAATTTTATATGAAATACTCACTCTGTAATGTTCGACTTATGAGATTAATGGTAAAGTTTTGGGTTGAGTAAATTGACAAGGATGGAGAAAAATTAATTGTGTAACCATTAATCTATTCATATCTATCTATCCATCTATCTATCTATCTCAGTCTGATCATTATCTATCTATGTCAGTGTGGCCATACCACCTTCTCTCTCTCTCTCTCTCTCTCTCTATCTATCTATCTATCTATCTACCTATCTATCTATCTATCTATCTGTCTCTCTCAGTTTGTTCATATCTACCTTGGTCTATTTGAATTATCTATCTCTATTTCAATCTGTATCTGTTTCAGTCTCTTCCTAATTCAAGCTACTATTATTTTAATCAACTGTATTCAATATCGTAACCAGTACCAGTAACGTTTTTCTCTTTATTAGTGACTTAACGAATAAACTATGTTTGGGCAGGTGTGAAAATGCATTATCGATACAATATTTAACGATTATTTTTACTACCATGTCGTTCTCAATTTTATTCTGTGCACTCAAATGTGTCTTTTCCTTGGAAGAAAACGTTTTTTAAACTTTAGTTAAAAGGCAGCTACACAAAGATTGTTTAATAGTTTCATAGGCTTTTTAATAAACCGGAAATTTTAAAACTTGTTTTTGTTTTAGATAATTCATACTCCAGTCGACATGGAATCGCGTGTTTGTGTTCAGCATCTTCATTGCGAATTGTTCTAATTGGATTTGAACTTCGCTTATCGTGTATAAATAGGTGTATGAATACAAAAACGATATTAATAAAACTCATAGATAATATACAAAGATAATTTATTCAGTATGACTGCAATTATTTTCAATTACAGCTCTTAAACATAAAGTCATTGGACATCTTTAGCCACTCCTGATCGACCTGCAAATTGGTTAGTGATGTGAGGAGACGTTGTGTTGATGGCCTGCTCAAAACCAAACCATACGACTTAGTCAAGCCTGGAAGGGGGCCAGAAATCCGCTAAAATTCAGTAGAATTAGCTTTGCAGAGATTCTGCACATTCATGGCTGTGAAACTGGGATCACTACCCTGGAACAGCCATAGTTGCTCTTTAGACAGCCTTGTGTCATGTCAAAATATGGCACCACAGCAATTAACACCAACGATTTCACCAAGCTGATAGAAGAATGGAGGCATCATTTTATCGTCGGAGACAGATGTTCTTGGGTTGGATGATTGATCTTGGAGGTGTCCTTCGCATCAACTTTTATCAGTTCAAAAACAATTCACTGTGAAGATTTTCGTATTTTTGAAGTGCCCACCAAGCCAGATGATTTAGGATGGGATGTCCAAATCTGAAACAACTGGACTCTACTTCTTGCCTCAAAGAACAACGATGAATGGTGCAAGTTATGTGGAACAAACTGGAACGGCATATTCACATTTATCAGTGCAAAATATTTATGCATGGTGGTGCTCCATGCCATCAGACAAAGGTTATTCAGAATTTTTTGAACATGGCAACACTGAAGTAGCAAGGAAAATGTCCAGATCTGAACCCAATTCAAAATATATGGGAAATTGTCAAAAACAATGTTTGAGAAAAAACAACAACATTCAGATACAAAAGCACTGAGAGAGGCTATTAAAGAAGTTTTCTGGACAAAGCTGTAACAATTTGATTTTCAGCATGCCTCGTTGCATCGAAGCTGTAATGAAAAGAAAAGAAAGTCTTACTGACCGCTAGATTATTTGGCTTGAAATGTATAGAGTAAAATTGAGTCAGGCTGTCCTAAATTACTTTGTTTCTGTGCTGTTTGACAAATTCAAGAACTAAACTTTTAATCCACTAGGCTATTGTGCCTTCTGCGAGGACAACTTGGATTCTTAAATCTGACCTGACTGCTGATGAGTGTTGCAGACGCTGTTATTTGTCACGCTTATCTGCACTCAACGGGGTTCCATTTTGTACTACAGATGCTGATACCTTTGAAGCTTTTCTCTCATTTATATTTTTTTCTTAACGGTTCCCATATTATATTTATGTCTATACTAGGCCTACTAAGGAGATCCTCATAGCTCAGCATATGTGCTGATTATTTCTTTGGATTATAGAAATATACACGATATGGTTACTCAGATATATTAAGATGAGGACAATAGTCCACGTATATATAATGGTAACTCCTCATCCAGATATTCAGATAGATTTTACTTAACCGTCAATATGTAAGTACATACTTTGATACATACACGAACACATATATATAGGTTCGTTTTTATTTTATGTGATCTGTCCAAAAGTACACGTTACTTATATAATAAAAGTATGTATGCATTATTAAAAACTCACGTTAAAAGAGAATTGATTATAAAATCCATGATTCAAGCCGCGAAATAATTAAAAAATACGTTCAGTTTTCTATTAAGACATATTAATTTCCAGTTATGCTAACACAGATCTAGGGGGATAAAATATTCTACCGATTTTGCGATACTTTTTCAGTGGATAATTCAGAAATTGAAGGAATATGATCAAAATGTAATGTTACTGAAACAATACATTTTACTTGTGATACTTCCATACAATCAATGTTTCGTCCTCAGTTTAAACAATAAAACTGTCTGACAGAATTGTTGAATAAAAACAATGGCCAAAATCAAAAATTCTGATAGGAAATGTCACATTGGTACGGACCCGACTTCATAAATTTAGAAAATCTTTGTTAAGAATGTTAATCCGAAAGAATCATTGTAAGTAAAATGGAAAAGGTGGGAGAAATGAATCATTTAAGTGAAAAAAAGGATTTAAAATCATTACAGCAAATGTCTAACAAAAGAAGTGACCAATTGTCTTTCACACACAATCATACTCTGTCACTTTCTCAGTAACTGCCTTACGAACACAAGTAAGAGCTTTTTCATTAAGGCTTATACTTCCCAGAATAACACAAAAAAATCGTTAACGATTATACGAAACCGATATTTAGATATATTAATTCTAAATTAAATCTACACTTATGTTAAATAAGATATTTGTCTAAGTACTGTACTAATTTCAAAACATTTCATTGTCTGTGGAATATACTCACGTAGACACACGCACATAAACACGTTCATATACACACATAAACACCTAGTACTTAAACTTTTCATTCGTAGCATCGCAAAATCTCTCTCCGTCGTTCATATGACCCAACAACATATTAAGAGAAAATACTGAATGCAAACTTGAGTCAACCATTTCTTCATAATGACCAGACCGATAGTGAAAGTAAAATTTCATGGTCAATTTTGACAGGATTTAATCAATCTCACATACGAAGGTAAATCAATAAATCCGTAACCAGACACAAAGCTATTAACTGAATTTGGATTTTTCACTGTATAATGTTCGATCTAGGTGATTAATATAGCTTTAATTTAATCTTATACTCTGATGCTGTTTTCCTTATTTTCCATGATATTCTTGGCGTAATTTGGTTTTTGTTTTTAATTTTCCATTGAAGTTTACAATCTATTATGCTGTTCGCGTATTTACTATTTGTAAAGCATGTTTGTGTGCGTAGTTTCTGTTTCCAAAGTCCTTCAGCCTTCATTTACGCCTATGTATATTTTCCTTCGATATCTGCTGATTTTACAGTGGCTTGATATATTACATTGTTTTACAAGCAATTGCCATTTAATGGGTATTCGTTTTTTTTACTCTGCAGTTAAAAGTGGGTTCGGTTTGTGCGACTGGTTTGTTATTTTTCTGTTGCACCTTTTTATTTGTCCCATACTTTTCATGCAACTGTAGCTCCTTTTTTACTACAAACGCACACAGGTCATTTTTCTATTGAATATTTTGTGATGGGGGAAGTGTTTGCGTATGCGTGTAATAAATATGTGTCCGACCTTTGTTTTTAAGCTTTTGTTGTACGCTGGAATATGCCATATGATGTTTCTTTTCCTGTTAGAGTTTTTGTGCTGTCTGGTGTGTATGTGACTGTTGCTGAAAATCCACTATCTTTTCGGGTTAATTCATAATCATTTTTGGCATTGTTGAAGATGGTTTCGTTGGAGATGATTTCGATGGAAAAATTGTCAGATAACCTGCGGTTAATTGATTGTAGGATTTGCTTGATTATCCATAGCGGGTGGTTGTAAGATGTGTATATGCAAAATGGTTTGTCGTTATGTTTTCTGTATGGTTCGTATGTACCTTTTCTTAAATTGAGTGTAAAAATCTAAGAAATCTACTTCCTTTTGGTTTGTTTTATGTCTATGTTAATCCCATATTTTAAAAAATATTTATGATTATTTTTCTGATTTTGATTGTTTTTATCTTCGAATTATGAAACCATCGTCTCTGTAAAGGCCTATATCATTTTTATCGATTATTTTACATAGTTCATATAGTAAATGTATGCGTATAAGTACACACTACCAAAACTTCCAACTTTATTGTCGAAGGTTCTTTCTTTCTTTATCCACGAGTCTTGTTGAATAAGCATCAAAATGAAGCCGTTTATTTTATGAATTCCGATCAAGCAATTTTTTTCGTGACATTCAAAGTATTTTATTTCATTTGTAAATAAATATATAAAACATTTATGTAATGAACTGCATATTTTAACATTAATAGCGTTTTATTTAAACTGTACATCGATGTGGAAATGAAATAAATATTTTTTAACCTACTCTGAGCGTAACACTTATAAAATTATCTCCACGCAAGTGTTAAAATAATTACAATATTTTGATTGTTATTAGTGACAAGTTATTTTAAACCGAAAGTTGAGATATAATTCTCAACAATTAAAACAAGATACTTTTTCTACTTTAATTTTATTTGTTATTTTTACCTAAAACGTGTTTGCCTGACTTACTTTCATAGTTACGTTTTTACACTTATTTTTATAAAGCTAGTTGTGAGTTTCTTAGTATTTCCTCACTAGAAACATACGCCGAAAGCATCAGTAGGTCTCTATCAACAAACCTCTAATTGTGCCATATATACAGAAAGGTGATTGTATAGAACTGCAAGTCTTTCATTATAGACCGAGTAATATGACGTAGATAGCTGTGTCCCGGAGATGGTAGAAAATTGCACATATATATTTATATATGGGTATGATGAAAACATACGTATACGCACAATACTTACACGTGTATATATATTTTTTCTCATGTGTTATAAAAACAGTGCCCAATCTTACATTACAGAGATATTAAATATATTAAGTATTTATTTAAAAATATATATTAAGTAAATATTAATTAACTTATTATCTTAAATCATTTAAATAACCCTTATTGAACAAACGAAGTAAATTGATA